ACAGTTTTGACCTCGCCTCTGTCTAATCACCAACTCCGGTCGGATTCGATACTGAGTTATATGCATTGTGACGACTCGTCATCACTTCGCTGCACAACTATTGGGGTCCTTGGGTCATAAGCCAAATGTTACTTTTAATGCAGGCCAACCCACTTTTAAAATTGTGAAAAAATTCTGTCTTCAACTCTCTATAAGCGACTTAGGTTGATTGAGTTTACATTCAACAATTATTAATAGATTGAAGCATACTAACATCGAAAATACCATCAACTAGTTATTTCTTATATTATTCCTTTCCTTCGTGTGTATCTACGATATAAATTGTCACTTAACACTCCGATTGGGTTATCCGAAATAGTAATTACTTGATCGTGTAGCCTTTGTTTTAACCATTTTTTACTCCCTTTCAACAGCGCCGCGATGATAGTCAGCTACTTCATCCCTGCCTGACAACCTTTGATCGACTTCCTCTCTCTGAGCGCCAATATGATGTAACACTGGCCTATGAGACTCTATGTACCATCGTCGGTCTCGGCTTCAGTATTGGATATGAAGCTCCGCCGGAGGGCACACGCATCCGCACGCTTAAGTTGCCTGCCAGGTATATTGTTTTATGTGATGATCAGAAAGTGCCTGTGGACTTTGTTCTACAATTGTTTGGCCTCCTTCGCTCCTTATGCTTCTAAATGTACAATCCGGTTTTTCGACAACCTTGTTAATAGATGAGATAACCCAACGGCCGAATTATATCTACTTATTTGGAAAACAAACGAAGGAAATAAATATGAGATGTATTTATTCTATTTCGTCTATTGTAAGGGAGGACTAGTAGTTGCATTTTCCCACAATTATATGAGTTAAGCTGACGTTTCCTCCAATTTTCACATAGCATTGCTCTCCCAAAAGGTGCTCTAATCCATCTTATACATCTCATATAACTGACTTACTGGTAATCTCGATACCCTACTTATAAACGAAAAATAATTATTGTAATCGATTTTTATAGCAAATATAACTTTGCTTTATCGAAAATCCAACCAAAGAATATAATATGGGAAAACGCCTAGCCTTCCTTAAAATTCGCATTTACAGTCCACCTTGGGTAGAATACTTTTCGGGAAGGCAAGGCTATGTGAAATTAGTAGAAACGTCATAATTGTGGGAAAATTAAGCTACCAATCTTTCATCAACTTGATAGGAAATAGGGTAAATACATCTTATATAACTGATTCAGTCGCGAAACTCTACTTACAAACAAAAATAGAAAGAAAGATAGGCTGTGCGTCTTACGATTAAGATTGTTTATACCTTTACTAAATTTTATCTCGTAAGCTTTTGTTATGATTCATTTAAGTAGCCTGCCTTGCAATAAACTGACAATAGCTATTATTTGGATAAAATGCGAAGATTTTTGCAAGTAAAAAAAACTTGCGAGACACCCTCATTACTTATAAATGTATATAAGTGTTAAGAGAGGAATATGTGCAGAATAGACAAAAGAGTCTCTATTTGGATGACTTATGAAATGATATATTTCCAGAGTCTGAAAAAGGGAAGGTTATATGTTTCTTTTTTGTTTGATTTCCTGCTGCTATTGGTTCTCAAGTTGTCTTTCTCTCTTTTTCCTCAACCAGTTTTTTCACACTTATTTTTCTTTTTCCACACCAAAACCACTTTACTTATACAAAATCGGCTAATTCCAGAATAAATCAAGCACACTTGACTTCGCATTATATGAATATTCTACACCAATTTGTGTTTTTA